TGCCCGGTGAAAAAATACCCAGCTGCTCGCATCTGCCTGTCCGTCTCCCATCGAGACATCTCTCGGAAAAGTCGATCGTCCAGCGAGAAACGTCCCAGCGCGATCCGATAAACCGGTCTTAATTTCCATGTCGATCACGCGTTATCCGTGCTGGAATCGTCGCGCTACGCACAGAACAGGAAAGAACGACGGTGAACGCATCGAGCGTGATCGCTCAATCCGGCTACACGCTCTTCGAGCAACGACCAGCGAGAATACTTGCCGTGGTATACCACTCGAATGGGTTGCGCGACGACGATTTCCGAGGGGTGGTTTACGAGCGTGTTCCCGCGGCGCCTTGACCTGCCTCTAGCAAAGCCTACGACAGCCGAGTCCAAACCGATACGCGAACCGATCCGCGTGCACGCGTGGACGGATCAGTCGTCATTGCTATTTTTAAGCTCCGCGATCGCCGCTACCTTTCTATTGCTTCATACTACCGACGCCTGTCCGTACCCTTCGTAGGACTTTTCCCGGTTCCAACTTTGCTTCCCATTTCCTACTCTCGGCTATCGTCCACGGAGTGTACCTTCGTCTGTATCTTCTCTCGTTTTACAATTTTTATCCTTTCCCGCAACTCGAGAATTTCCATCGCCACCGTGCTTCTTCGCCGAGGTTTCGACGAATTTCCACGCGGAGGAAGAACGCGGCGGCGACGGCGGCGGCGACGACGGAGCGCGCGGATCAGAGGAGCGGAAGACAGAAACAGGGAGCGAAACGCCAACAGAGGATCGCTTCCGCGATGCACGCGAAAGGAAAGGGGGCTTTCGTTATATTTGCCGAATGCGAGGCGACTTCTTCATTTGCGCTGAAGAGAAGAGACATCCGCCGGCCCGTGTTTTGTCCCTGATACCTCGGCGAAGTGGTTGTTGCGGAGGCGCGTGGGCGACCGGAAACTCTCCCTCCCACATTCGCGTGCCCTACCTCTTCGAAGGGACTTTCAGAGAAGAACACAGCATCCACCGGAGGGGGAGGGAGATGGAGGCTCGCGAGAAAGAGAGGAAAATAGAAAGCGAGAAAAAGAGAAAGGAGGAGGAACGACGCGCGTTCCCGCTTCCCCCCTCGGCCCGAAGAAGCGAAGAAGCCCTCGAAACCGCGTAGAATTCGTGAAAATATTTTTATCGTCGCGACGCTACCGTCTTCGCCGCCGATTAATTGTAGAATATTTTTAGAAATAGTCAACCGACCGATCGATGCCAGCCATATTCCTACACCTATAGGTCCCTCTTGCTACACCTTGTCGTCGTCGAATTTCACGGAAATCAAGTCCGTTAATTAAGCGACAATGTATTCGGCTTCTTCCACGATATCTCCCGCGACTATGCGATTACGTAAACGATGAATTTCTTCCATCGCCGAGGTTGGACGAGTCCCGCGGCATGGGCGGACCGAGCGTTGCCTCGATCCATTTGTTTACGGATGAACCGGGGCACACGCGCTTTTAATTACGTCTGTCGGATGTCAGCACGGTGTCGAGCTATTTCCTCGGGCCGACCGAAAGCTGAAACGAAGCTTAATTGACAGGTATATTTATCACCGGAGGATCGATCGACCCTTGCGGGCCCTAGACCACTTTCACCCGAAATTTATTCCGATCTTAACTAATGGCGATGGGACTCGCGCGCGGCCTCGTAATCGATTAGTATCGACAATGAACGAAAACGAGTATGAAACGTATCATTAATCCTGCGTCGAACCCGAGCACCAACGGCCACCACGCTTTCGACCACGATGACTCGAATCAACCCCTAGCCGCTCGCGCCTTCTCTGCCACTCGAGCAACGCTCTCCAACGTAATAATTACTCGTTGAGTAATCGAATTGGAAAGCGAGCGGACAGGATGAAAGGAAAGCTAATTACCGTTCGGCAAAAGGAAAATGTCTTTGAAAAATCACGCGTTCGCGCATAATTCTCGCGAGCACCTATAACGTCTCTAGCTTTGCGTACACACGTACTCCGAAACTCCATCTTTGGTAGCGTTAGGCACAATCGAGGGATTCGGTTATGCAAAGTTACCCGGACAGCGCAGAGCTATCGACCGATGTGTCTCCGATCCGAGATACAGGCCTGGAGGAACCGCGAAAGGGGTTAAGGGAACACGGCGCTCGAACGTGGAATAGAAATCTACAAATTGTTCTCCATTTTGCCCGGATCGTGTCCCCACCATTGCGCAGGGTGTTGCGCCAGGTTTACCACTCCGTGAGCGCTATCCGGACACCTGAATCGAGAGGATTTTCACAACGGCGCTGCCTGACGCGAGAGAGCTCCGGCTAGGTTGTCGCGTGGGCGACCGGAAACCGTACCTTCCTACCGTCTTTGGTCGTCACTCGACGACTCCACAGGGAAGGGGCCCGGGGAGAAGGGAGGAGAGAGAAAAGGCAGACCGACCGGCCAAGAACTGGCGCAGCTCTCCTTCAACGTTCTCCACAACAGCCAGTACCCGCGGCCGAGGGCGGATCTGTCCTCATCGTCGCGTAATGTTTTCACGTACCAGGACCTACAGGGATTCCTACTTACCGCTGCTAGTCCATGAGTCTCACAGAAACGAGGCTCTCCCTCTTCCACTCGCTCGTTTCTCTGTGACTCTTCCGTTTCCGTAACGGCGATTAATTAACGTCGGTCCAGGGGCCCTCGCCGTTGCGACATCGACGGTCTAACGGTGATGGACCGATGAAACTTTTATGACGGATCTATGGGTCCAGGTGTTCCAGCGGGACCAAGGTTCTCCGCTCCTCCGTTCGTAAACGAGATGTTTCCTTGCGCGTCTCGCAGTGATCCTGTAAGTTACATTCGATTTATCGATCTTCTTCCCTTTTTGACGAAAAGGAAATCGAAAGATCGCGGTATTGAATCCAGCGGACCCCAAGGAGACCCCTGGTAAGGACACAGGCAACGCCGGATGGAAGTCGGGTAAAGAGTATCAAGGATACACTTGAAAACGTATCGAAACGCGCGAGATGAAAAAAAAAAGGAAGAGGAGGAAAAAAAAAACGCTATCTAGGCTCTTCGGATGATAGAAAGGTGATGACCTCGATCCTACGCCTGCCGCGTATAAAACGCCGCGCCGTTCCCGTCTTGCACCTCGTTCCGCCTGTTTCTGCTTGCCTGTTCTGACTGGCCTGCCCACGCCTGCCCTTCTGTCAATTATATTTACTATTTCATTCATACGGCCGCCGCTTGGTCCACGAGCCGTGCCCATTCACGAGAACGGCCGCGCATGCCAGATCGCTCGCGCCCGATGGCTATCCGATAGGGTAGCGCCTCCATATATGATTCGGATGGAAGTGCACTGCGGGCAAAAATGTAATTGCCGTAATCTAGGATTATACGGTTGCGTAACGTTCACGCTAGATACATACCGTGTGCGTGCGTGTGCCTGGGTGCGCGCGTGTGTGTGCACCTTCTATGCTCCGCGCCGCGTTGCGTAATAGAGCTTTCGATGAAATGGAAACGAACGTGTTGCAGGAGATTCCGAAAAGCGCGCACGCCATTATTAATTGCTAGCGAGTCGCTCCGCCACGCATGCGCGGACTGCGTGCGCAGAGATTCGTCGCGAACGATACTGCGTCACGGTTTTTCGTCGGTCGTTTCGTCGATCGCTTTTCCAATCTTTCCCTCCTTCGTTTCTTAAATCTTTTCGTGAATGGATAGATGCTAGGTTGTCGTACTCTTCGAACCATTCTTTCTTTACTTTCTCACCGACCAGACTCCTCCCGATACGCCGCAGACCGTGAGAATTTTTTCGGCTCCCGAGAGGTTAGCTCACTAATCGGGCGCTAATTCGCTTGATGCCGTAGGGAAACAGACGGGAGGATCTTACTAATTCGAAGCGGTGGACCGTAAAAATTCACTCGCTTTCTATCACCGTATACGGTGTTCTCGTTTAATAGGGAACGCGATCGGCTATTTACATGGCAAATTTGCTCGTGGTCTCAATGAAAATTTATGCTAATCGATTTAATGTCACGGGTTCGTGATTCGTTTCTAATGATTCAGCGGAGATTAAATACTGTCGGTTTATAAGGTTACACCTACTCGGATTCAAATGATTCGAGTTATCCTAGTTCTTTCGAATGTTGCTTCTTATGTTTTTTCAATACACCGATACTCGCGATAGATCGATAATATTAATTGATTCAACTTCACCTCGAGACCAACGATCGTTGATCATGTTTGGATTGATCACGAGACCGACGTATCCTAAAGAGGCCAAGAAATTTTTCGTGTTCCGTCGGAAGAGATGAGGTCAACGTTATTTTCTAATAGATGAAGCACTCCACGAAACCACCACACATGCACGCCTGATAGTTCGAATAATTAAGTTTCCACGTTGATCCTCGTATTCCTATAAAGGCATCGGGTCCACGCCTACGCTCAATTCCTTTTCGACTCTTGTGTGACTAGGACTCTGTGATTGCAAAGCCGTTTTAGAATCTAATAACGTTCTCTCGGTGTACGCGTGTAAAACTCGTCAAGGATTATTACGTTACCAATAAACGATAACTCGGTATCTACTTGACACGTTTCTCTCGTTCTCACTTTTCGTTAACGATTGACAGATGTGTATGATCGCTCGAACAAATGTGTCATGCTCTTGTAGTTTCCGGCTTCATATATTCTCCGTGATATCCGAGTATTATTACGTTGTAATAACTCCATTAAGATTTAATTGAAAGAATATCACGGTATAAACTGTACTCGTGTAAAGTTTAGTTTCGTTCTAAACATTCGTAATGTGTCGCCATACTGTCCACGCCTGTACAAAAGTGCCATCTACTAAAGATAAGATGCACTATGTATGAAAGTTACTATTTCCCTTGATCGGTAATGACGGACGCTACTTATCTTTTTAATTCTAACCTCGAACCATGCGATACGAGACAAATAAATAATTTAAACGCTTCGAAATTTCTATTGTGGTTTTACTCTTTGTATAACGTTATCATCTATGCATTTGCCTTGAAAATTAACGCTTCCCTTTTTGTTCCTTTTTATCGAATGAAATATTATAGCGTATGTACGTTTGATTAAGTAGAAATCAACTTCGACGTTTGGACACTTGAAATGCACGAGAAATATAACTTCACCGACCGTGAACAGTGATGGAGAATTTTAATGCTCCGTCGGTATATACGTCACTAACTGTCCTAACAGAAAATAACCCACATGTTGCCTCTCTGTTTTTGTTCTGTCATTCGATCAGCTAATCAACCATGGAGACTTCAATCCTAAACGCGGTAAGTGTCCTATTAATTTCTTGGGTATTTTATCGTTATGCATAACCGATAATTTTAGCTTCGTCATGTGTTATAATTTATGGACGATTTAAAGATTCATTACCATCTACAGTGTTCGTTTACGCAAGCTAATCGATTCGATTTTGCAAAAACATGCGACTGTGCAAGCTACGTCGTATTGACATTGAGTTGTCGAACGTCATATGTTAAGTTTTGAGTATTTTTTTATACTATTTGTTTTTTTATTTTTAATTATATTTTTTATACATGACATTAGCATAATATTTCTTCTATCAAAGGCACACGAAAGACAAAGAAGGGCAGAGGCATTGTTGCAAGAAGGTCGTTTCGAAGAAGCAGCCAAGTGTCATGAGACAGTGGCCAGTCTCCTGGCAGAGGCACACGCACAACTCGAATCTAGTTTCGTTCAGTTGAAGACTTCCAATTTATCAAGTCAGACTCCACCAATTGTGATATCCTCGTTTCATTCGTTTGTCACTTTGGAATCTCTTGCCCTCCAACGAGATTACCACAAAAGACAAGCTGCTGTAGTTAGGTAAGTAATAATACCTTTTGACTTATTATATTATTCAAGCATGCACTTTTATGAAAATTCATTTTTTAGAATGAAACAAGCACAGTACGAAGAATACAAAGCTACATTGGAAAATCAGAGAAGAGAAATACTTAGCAAACAAGCATCTAAACAAGTTGGAAAGGATACGTTTGAGTTTACCATTGATAAGTTTGATGGATCTTTACGACAAGCTATATATAGAACAATCGAAGAGCAGGACAGCCTTTTAACTTTGATCTCATTACCTATCTATGAAAACAAACCTTTTAAATATCCAAAAGACACTGGTACAGTTATCGAGGAACTGAAAACTGTTAATTGCCAATTGCGGTGCCTAATTGGAAGCTTGTTAAGCCAATTGGAAGCAAAGGAAGAGGAAGTAAGACAGCTGACTGAACAACTTCACGCTGTATCTGCTACCCTTAACGATGAAACTAGACTAGATAATGCACATACCTTAAGACTTGCACCTTTGCCACCTTTAACGCCTCTGGAAATGCCTTTATTCGATTTTACATCAACGTAAAATATTTTAATGACATACGCGACTTCTTTATTAAGATCTTGCATCGAATAAGATACAAATATTGTATACAAAATTAAATCTAATCTGTAATAGTACAAAACTAACGTGGAAATTGCTGTAAAACTCAGCTTCATGCTGTACGATTTTAAAGTTGAAATGTACCGAGATTTACGTTTTGTAACACGAGGAAGGACGACGAATCGTGGTGTTATTTGGAGGGATCAAGACACATATCAGCTATAAGAATTACGTATGTAGCAAGACGTGAATTTCGTTTCTAAGTGGAATTCATAAGATCACGCGTCTACGTGTGCGAATAATAAAGCAATTGATTTACCGACTTATGTACTGCCACTTGGATGCTCGTAGGCAGAGATAAATAGTATTATAATAAATGTACTTCATAGGATTGTACAGAGTCGACGTAAATGTGTATCCAAACATTGTTAACAGGCAATTCCGTTGCAAATGTGTGATCGGTTCATTTTAGATGTTACTGCCGAGTACGTAGGGAACGTGTGAAGAACTTTGTTGTTTATTGTGTAATGTTGCGTAATAAAAATCTACTAAATCAGACAAACTACCTCAATTTTTCACTACGGATTCGCGCCAAAGATCCCTTGGTACACGTCAATGCTCAATGCTATCGATACAGCGAAAAATGTGACGCTCTGATCGATAAACGAACACGTTCAATATCTTCTGGACACTCTGACAAATATACAAAAATGATTTTTAAACGATAAAAAAAACATGTAAGACAATGATCAAAATTCCCGGTGTAATTCTACCATACATGAACCATGAATCCTTCGCTATTTACTCGCAAATGGGAATCTCATAATTCGGATTACGGTTGAGCGATGGAGAGAGCAGGTGAAATAATAACGATTTTCATAGGACAGGCTGGCACGCAACTAGCAAACGCGTGTTGGGAATTATTCTGCCTGGAACACGGTGTGTCCCCGAATGGTTGCCTTCGTCAGGGTTACTACCCAATGGACCCTTCCATGTGCAGCTTCTTTTCAGAGACCAAAGTAAACGAATATGCATATGCACGATGAACGATCGTAGAGAATTAATATATCATCGAGTCCCAGTAAAAGTGTCATTGGACTCGATTCAGTGATTCATTCCTCCTACACGCGAATTCGTTTCAAGGCAAGAAAGCTGACTCCACGCACGGTAATCGTTGATCTAGAGCCCACGGTGATCGACGAGATTAGGACCGGCGCTTACAAGAATCTCTTCAGCCCAGACTCGTTGATAACCGGAAAAGAAGACGCGTCTAACAATTATGCTAGGGGGTATTATTCTATCGGCCGAGAAGCAATTGATCTCGTGTTGGATCGTATTTGCAGGATATGGCGGACGTGCTCGAAGCCAGCTGGATTCATCGTGTTTCGGTAATTCAATTTTCTCGAATCGTATTAGCAGTTCTTCGTGCAAACTCCATCTTGCAGAGCAATAAGCGGTGGTACCGGAAGTGGTTTCGCCACGTTGTTATTGCAACAATTATCGCGAGACTATCCGAAGAAGATCACTTTGGATTTCGTTCTCTATCCATCCCCTAACATCGCCACTGTTATCGTTGAACCCTACAACGCTGTCTTCACTACCCACGCTACATTAGACTACGTGAACTGCAGTTTTCTCGTTGACAACGAAGCTCTGTACAACATATGCGACAGGTATCCATCGAACCGGTAAAACCTGGTCATCTCTCGTATCATCCTGTTGTCTCTTTCGTAGAAACCTGGACGTCGAGAATCCAACTTACACCAACCTGAACCG